CCTCCCAGCAATTTACCTCCTTGCAGCAAACAGCCTGATTAGCATGAAAAAAAAATCTGCCTCCCAGCAATTTACCTCCTTGCAGCAAACAGCCTGATTAGCATGAAAAAAAAATCTGCCTCCCAGCAATTTGCCAACTGGAGCCTACAGCAAGTTTCACTTTCAGTTTAAGAGCCTCCCAATCATCAGCTGTTTCAGGCTGCAGGGATTGCTATAGCCTGCAAGCCCCATTTTCCCTGTTTGCTGCAAGGAGGTAAATTGCTGGGAGGCAGAGGCCAAAGGGTGGGGGACGATGGGTGAGTGGGGCTACATTTGGTGTATAAGATGCACCCAAATTTTCACTCTCTTTTAGGGGGGGGGAAAGGTGCGTCTTATACTCTGAAAAATACAGTATATTCCAAGCCTTCTGAAATTCAGACACTCGGGCATTCTGATACCTGTTTTACAGGTTTTGAGGTCTGAATTTTTGCTCTTTTTCTTTTTTTACAACTCTACATAATGCAAGGGAAATGTGAGCAATTGAGTGTCTGTTCCCGGAGATATTTGCCTGGGTAATTCCAGTCAAGATAAATGTCTAGGTAACTTATTCAGAAGGCACCGTAACGTTTAAAACACATTCAGAATGTTCTGTTCCCCTTTATCTCAAAAAAGATTTCCGCTTGACTGCTTTTGGTGATTGGAAAACCTTTTTGGTTATTTATCTATCTCTCTATATAAAAGGGAAATGCCAATCACGCATCATCAGGAAATCTCCAGAACCGTAAAGACTACAAACTTTGAAATTTGGCACCTCTTGGTTCCTCTTGGCTTCTACATGCTCGCTAAGAAAGGATTTTTTCGAAATGACCTTTAGATCAGTAGTATTGCTTATATCATTATTAATACGCTCTGATGCTAAGGAGTTAAATGTTCTACTCCTCCTCCCCACCTGAAAAGAACTCTGTTCCAACTGCCACATGGGCGTGACCAGCACGTGACTCTTCTGGCCTGTGGGCTGGGGGTTTAGACATTCTACTCCCTCTCCCCACCTGCAAAACACTCTGATGCTAAAAAGTTAGACATTCTACTCCCCCTCCTCATCAGAAAGGGAGAGAAGGGGATAAGATAGGAGAGACCCGGCAGCAGATTCCGCCAGTGAGGAGGTTGGGAAGGAAGATGGCCCAGTCCTGGAGTCTGGGGAAGGCTCTGGTGAGGGCTCTGTGTCAGAGGCAGAGAGGGGGCCAGGGCCATCTGGCAGTTATCAGCTGCCTTCAGAGTCAGACCTCAGTGAGGCAGAAGAATAGCTGGAGCCTGTTCCCAGTGTGCGCATGCGCAGAGTTGCCAGACGAAGGGAACAGCTAAAGAACAGGGGTCAACTTGGGAGAAAGGCCACAGTTGGATGATGAATGGCCCCTCCCAGAGGGAATAAAAGAGGNAGAGCCAGCGCTGTCCGAAGACGTCTCTGTGGTCCTGTGGCCGGCATGACTCAACGCCGAAGGTGCACAGAACGCTACTCCCTTCCCACCAAATCCAGCTAGTCTTGTATATAACCAGTTCCTGCAAAATGTACAGATCTGAAACCTTGATCTTTCCAACTGTCCCATCTCTTATTGAAACCAGTCCTCAAATATCTTGGGTTTTCCTTGGTTTGTTTTAGATCTGCCTTGCAAATGCGGTGTGATTTGGTCTCCGCGGGATGTAAAATTCAATCATTATTATTTGTATCGTATACCTCAATAGGACCAAAGTGTAGAGAGAAAACCTTGGGGAAAAGTCAATTCTTCCAAACGAAGTAATCGTCCTAATTGGTGTAAGAGATTTAATGTTCAGATATTGAACTGCCTTCTCTTAAAGGATTTTTAATTGGCTGGGGGTTTCCCCCCCCCCTTTTAAATTTAAACATTTATGACTGTCTTAAATCTTCACCTATTAGTAGGTAGCCAAAACAATTCATGGAACATTAACAGCAAAATTAATTTTGCAATGGATTGATAAATAAAAGTAGCCTATCTTTCTAGGAGATGCATACAAACCGAACTCTTCGTCCTCTTGTTTTCTAACCGAATTAATAGTTATGTTACCAAGGTGACTCTTCCCCCCCTGGCTTACAAAACAACTCCAGTTGGATCACAAGAAAGCTTCCCATCAAGTTGTGGCCTGACAAGCTGTGATGGGAGGCATTTCTCTGAATCCATGACCATGAATCGTAGTTCTGCTGTGGTTTAACAGAGCTCCCGATGATGCCCTGGATGTAGTGTAACTATAAACTATGGCTTAATCAGTGTTATATATAAACACTCACTGATTAAGTATGATATATAAAATCGCACTGATCTCCTCGCACAGCTTAGTGGATATTATATATGGAAAAAGCATATTTGGAGGGATCTCTCTCTCTCTCTTCCTCCCTCCCTCCCTCCCACCCTCCCTCTATCATCTCTCTCTCTCTNGCCTTCTCTGTTTTCACGGGAATGTCTCTCTCTGTCCGTCACAGATGGTGGACGGAGAGTCGGAGGAGGAACAAGATTCTGCAGACTCTGTCGAAGAAGAGGAAGACGGCGACGAATCGGACTTGGTGAGTGCCGCCTTTTCTCGCGCCAGGCTCCCAGAAGGCAGCGGTTGGCGAGGAACCCAACGCCCTCCAGGCCCAGCAAAAGGAATTCCATTGTTGGTGGAAGACGCTTCCTTTTATTATTGTTATTATTGTTGTTGTTATTATTTTGTCTCCCTCCTTCCCTTGCTGATCTGGTTTGCAACCATGTTGTTTTTTTTTTGCTCTTTTGTTGGTTTCAAGGGGGAAACAGTGGACTTCCATTAAAGTCTGTTGCTTTCTTGCCAGGCCTCGGTAGAGGTCTGCTGTTGGTTGCCAGGTGCCAAGACCAAGGCGCGGTCCAGACAGGCATGGCCAGAGCTGGAAGAAGCAGGAGAGAAGCAGGCACCTAGCCCAGACAGACCCTGCCCAGGGCCGAGTACTGCAGGAAGCAAGGCAAGACACGCCCCGAGGCTGTTGCTGCTTCTGCTGCTGCTGTTGCTGCTGCTACTGTTGCTGCTTATCGAGAGCCATTGCTCGGACCTTTGGGCTTCAGTGGGACCAGAACGGGCTCCTTTCCACCCACACAGCCATTGCCAGTTGGGTTGGGCTACCACGCGCATCATTCCCCTGCCAGAAGGGCTGTGACGGAGGATACCACAGGGCTGTTCAACCGTGGCGGCTTTAAGGCTTGTGGACTTCAACTCCCAGAATCCCTCAGCCAGGGTGGCTGAGCGAGGAATCCTGGGAGTTGAAGTCCACCAGTCTTAAAAGTCGCCAAGATTGGAGAGCCATGGTTTATCCAGCCAGACTTGTGGACTTCAACTCCCAGTATTCTTCAGGCAGCATGGCTGAGCGAGGAATCCTGGGAGTTGAAGTCCACCAGTGTTAAAAGTCACCAAGGTTGGAGAGCCCTGGTTTATCCAGCCAGACTTGTGGACTTCAACTCCCAGAATTCCTCAGGCAGCATGGCTGAGCGAGGAATCCTGAGAGTTGAAGTCCAGAAGTCTTAAAAGTTGCCAAGGTTGGAGACTTGAGGAATCCTGGGAGTTGAAGTCCACCAGTCTTAAAACTTGCTAAGGTTGGAGACTTGAGGAATCCTGGGAGTTGAAGTCCACCAGTCTTAAAAGTTACCAAGATTTGGAGACCCCTGGGCTATCCTACTTGAAGGATCCCAGATTAGGGAAAGTGCTGGCTTATGCATTGATTCTACGCTTCTCGCCGCCTTTAATTTGTGGCCAGTGGGTTGGTAGGAGAGCTGGATCATCTGTGGCGCCATGCTGGAGCTGTCTTCGCCCCTTTCCCTCCCGTTACCCCAAGTCCTGCTTCCCTAGGGCTTTCCATCTCTTCTGTCCTTCTGCAAACTCTGGCTTGGATTTCCGATCCCTGGTTTTGTCTCCTTTTGTTTTTTTCCTTGGGGCCCATTCTTCTCCTCCACCCAAGCGGAGCAGGAGTTGGCCTCAAATTATCAACCCACATGGCTGTCCATGGATTAATTTACGTCGTGTAATCCGAGCGCAGAAATCTTTCAGAGTTCTGAGTCTGTTGGGTAGAGGAAGGTGCTGAGGTTAGCAACGAAAAAAAAAACCAAACCAGTTGGTCCCTGATT